GATGATCTCCTGAGGTTCTTTCCAACCCCTAGGATTTTGAGATTCCTTCTGAAGCTTCCATCTGCCTCCTGCAAGGCAAATACACAGCTGTTCAGGACCTACCTGGACGCCTTCCTGTGTGATCTCATTTAGATTCCTGCTCCAGCAGGGGGATTGGACTGGATGATCTTTCAAGGTCTTTTCCAATCCCTAATATTCTGTGTTTCTGTGACAGATGGGCTTCTGAGAGCCAGTTTGACTTCCTCAGCTAATCCAGATGAGACCCATTGGCTGGGCCCTTGTGTCCCACTGACAGTGGTGGGAGCCGTTCAGTCAGTGCACGGAGGTCTCTGGGCTGAGTGGTGGCATGCCAGTCTGTCTGGACTGTAGCTGTATAAGGTTGTGTAACCCAGAAGATACCATCAGGATGTGTAAAACTTAGCGTGGTGCATTTTCCATACTGACACAACTGCTTGTGTGCTGGTGGTGGTGGGAACGATCCTCTCATGTGGCCATGACATCTGGCTACAGTCATGTGGTGGGATTTGTCAGGGTGACTCTGAAACCTGTTTCACAGACTTGTGGTGGTTTTGGAATGTCCTTTTTTGCTATTGAAGGCTCCCATGGATGTTTAGAGGGCTGAACATTTGCCGTCTTCAGCAGCATGATGAAGTCTGAGCTCCAGATTGGGAGTGTTGATTCCTGCAGACCTCAGGTCCTGCTGGTACATGACTCATTCCTGTTTGAGAAACAGGTTTGCTGGCTGAGGGTTGAACATAAACTTCAGCAAATGGGGTCAGGACACTTGCTGGAACAAGGTGACCTTTTTGATTTGTAGCAGTGCCTGTGGTTTCTTTGAAGGGCAAGAATAGCAAGATGAGCTTAATACTGGGCAGCGGTTCTGTGTACTCGTGTTTTCTGGTGCTCATGGAGGCTTTCCTGGTTTAACAATGAGCTAGCAGCTGTCCCCAAGTGCTGCAACATCCTTACATTGAGACTGCTGCCTTAAAGGGGAAACGTGGGAGGAGTCTGGTGATTTGGATGCAGGACTTGGGGGAAAGAGCAAGTTTCCCAGTTGGGGTTTCCCACATGGACCAGTCTGTGTCCTTTCCTCCTCTGGCAGGACCTGGCTGTTGACTCCTGGGGTCACAGGAGTCCCCAGAGGTGAGGGAGGCAGCACTGCCCTCCCAGATCAAGAGGAGAGTTTCCTGATGGTGACTTGCTGCAGTTCACTGTCCCATGTCACACCTTGTCAGACTTTCTGCTTGGGCTGCTCTAAATATCAAGTAAATGGAGATCTTCAGGTAAGGAGTTGGAGGAAGAGAACAGCCTGAGGCAGCAGAGAAGGGGAAGCATTGCTCTTGTCTCATCTAGAGTTTGCTAAGACTTTTTTGGGAGAACAGCTGTGTGGTCCCTGAAACTGATTTGGCTGTGCAGATTTGAGCTGCCACCTCCCAGGTTGATCCTCTAGTGTGTTGTTTTGTATCAGGGCCTGAGGCTTATTTTAGGTGGAGTAACTTTTCTTGCAGGAAAACCTCACCCTCACTAATCTAAAGATGACTTGGAATGTATAGGGAAGGACTCAACAAGGGTCATGTTTGAACTCCAGTGTGCCTCCCTGGCATCCAGGATTTGTAGTGTCTGGAAAATGTCTTCCGAGTGAAATGAACCCGTGTGGATTTCCAAGTGCTGTGCTGCTGATTTCAGCTGGCAGGGCAGTGAGACTGAAGGGACCTGTCACCTCTGAAGTGTCTGCAGCTGATTTGAATGGCCCAGTGTCCTGGTTACTGGGAGAAACAGAGCTCAGGCTCCCTGAGCAGAGTCTCATGATGATCTGATCTGACTTTTCTCCTGAAGTTATTAACTCTGGAGCTAAGGTGGCATCACGGTGAGATGCTGTGGGGGGCTGAAGGTCAGAGAGAGATGTACATTGCTCTTAGGACATGTCTCTGCCTCATTTTCTCAGGTGGGATGCAGGATTACAACTATGTGTGGGCCAACTGCTTTGAGATCACGTTGGAGCTGTCCTGCTGCAAGTATCCACCGACCTCCGAGC